AAAAGGGAAGGTGGCAAAGAGCCCTCCCCGGCCTAGTGCCCCCCAGAGGATTTGGACAACAGCCTCTGAGGAGTTAGAAGTCCCAGACAGCTGGAAAGCGCAAGGCTGAGGAAGGCTGGTTTTAAAAAGTACTGACAGCAAATGTGATTCTTGCGTTGAGGCTTATGGTCAGGCAGCCTCAGCATCGCAGAGGGCAGGAATTCTTAGAACTGCCTTCTGTGAACTGTGCTACTGATAAAAGCAGATGTAAGTCACGGTTTGCACGAAGTATGCTCTGAGACAGTACAGCAGGAGCAGCCACAAACTATTCAGAGAGCCTGAGGCTAAGGTGACTTGGGGCATCTATCTGGACTAAGCCGGAGAGGAAGTGCTTTTCACTCCTTTCCTGATTACGCTGAAGACGGCCTATAATGCTGACCATTTTGGGGGGAGGACGATGCTTCCTGAATGATGGCTCAATGGAACCTGATTGGCTATGCAGTATGTCAGAGTCACCCTATTCATTATGGGATGCCCAATTGCTAGGATCATCCCTGTGAGAAAGCCAGGAAGAACAATATGCAGTCTTTCGGAATCCAGCTGCACTTAGCAGCTGCAGAGAGAGGACACAAGAGCAACAGGTCTAAAAACAGGAGCATTCTTACTGGAAAGAGGGTATTTCAGCCACTGGAAAGCACTATTTCACATAGGCTTGGGACAAACCCTATTGGAATTCATCCCCCAAGCATTCCCTGACTTCTTCTTGTGCTTGGCCCTGTCTTCCAAACTGAGCCAGGCCAAGAGGAAGTCCTTCTTTGGCTAGTGGCCTCATGGCGCTCCTCTCCTGGTGAGCCCCCTGTCGCTAGCCTTCTTTCATGTTGGGTGCAGCTGCCCAAATGGCTGCTGCCCCGATGAAGGAGAGGGAAGCTGCTTGCACGTGATTCTGGGAGAGGGCCTGATGAATGCTGAGTGTGTTTTCCAGGAATGCAGACTCAGGGCCACCGCCAAGGGGACCAGAGCCTGGGGAGCCAAGCCCAGGGAATCCACCCCTGAATGGATCCCTCTCACACCCCTAGTTTCATGACAATGAGCACACATTGTTGCACCCTCTTAACAATGGCATCAGATTCCTCCAGTCATGGTACTTGTGTCACTTATGGGCAGTGTATTTGCCCCATTTCCTCCCTGATGCTGCTGTTGTGGGGTTACCCTCCTTGCTTTCAAAAGATACAAGTCCTTCTGTGGAAAGCTGTGGGGCTGAGTGGGGCTTGGGGTACTTTTTGACCAGGCTGCAGTGGAGCCAGGTCAGCAGTCAGACTGCACAGCAGGGGCACGGACAGCATCTGCCCCCCCCCCCACCCAAACTCCCACTTCCCCTGAGCTTTTTGTTCCCTGTTGTAATGCAAAGATCCTGTGACCTCAAAGCTGGGAATCTGAAGACCAAGTGCCAGCAAGAATGTGCCCGCTGCCACAGAAAATGCAGGCATGAGGCACGGTGGGGGCAGAGACTGCTGCTGCCACACTCTGCTCCTTGCATTGGATGCTCATGAGTCTCTGAGTCTGGAGCATTACAAGCAGCTGCCGTGGGGCAAAAGGGATGCACCCGAAGACTCACCAGCTGCACAAATGACATGCTCTTTGTAGAAATGAAAAGTGCTAGAGCTGGCTGGCTGGTGTGGATCAACACCACCGGTGCACAGTTTTGGACTCTGCCAGGGACATGGAAAAGGGGCTTAGTCACACTGCCCCCCACACCACTGCAGAGGACATGCAATTGCAAACCATGCAAGGAAGGAGGCAAGGCAGGTGCTGCATCTGAGGGAAATAAAAAATCCTGACCAATAAGCTCAGAGAATGTGTGCTGTCCTCCAGATGTTTTGAACTTCAGCTCCCAGCAGCCAGCATAGCCAACTGTCAGGGCCGATGGCGGGCAAGCAGCCTGGCGAGAGCTGATGGTACACTAACAGGGATGCATTTCTTCTCCCTCCGAGGAGAAGGTCTTCACACCACGTAAGGCTCAGGACTGACCTTCTGTTAACATTCCTTAATGTCATGTGCACCATTCAGGCCAAGTTACAGAAAACGGTGCAGCTTTTTACCTAACCCCCTCCTCTGTTCAGCGACTTCCAGCCAAGTGTAACAGGCCACAGGAAATCCTCTCTGATGCCTTGTACTAGCAAGCCCTTCTGATGCGGTTTGACTGAAAGGAAGCCTGTGCAAGGCACAGCAGAAGCGGTGCGAGCTGATGGGTTAGCTGCCTCCAGGTTTCACATTTCTCTTCAAGTGGCCCCAGTACTCATTTATGCTCCATTCAGGTGGCATTTGGTGGGCTCTCCCGCACCTGGACACTCAGGACGCAGCCGGACGGCCACTTTCCAGGGAGGCCTGCGCTGAGCTGGAGCCTGGACCTGCAGGCCTTAGGAGTGCCTTCCACCTCTCCTGTTCAGTAACTCACGATGAAGAATTAAGTGCTCTGGAAACAATAAGCCCAGCCCTCCCTCCAGGCAAATGACCGAAATAATCACACTGACAATTGCACTTCCCATTCCTGGTTGCTCGCTTTTATTTTGGTTCACTTCACATAAAAAGCCTCAGCAACATAAAAGCAGCCTCTTCTGAGGCTGGACCTCACAACCCTTTTCACCCCTCCAGGCCTCACGCTGTGGTGCATGAGGGTTCATGCACGTGGGTGTGCACACATGTGCATGTGTGCGCACACACCACCATCACCCTGGAGACCCTGCTCAAGATCCCTGCTGAAAGAGAGGGATCTGGGTCTCCTCCTTGCCCCAGAGACCCTGCCTGGGGCTGCGGCTGCCCCATTATCACTGGTGGCGCAGGTGCAGCAATGCTGGCTGCTCTGGGATTGCTGTGGGAGGAGATCACTATCCTGGCACTGGAAATAGCCAGGTGGAAACATGAAGTCTTGCTCTTCCTTTACTTAATTCCCAGGAGCATTTTGCAAATCTCTGCTGACTGCCTACCCATTTTCCTTAAACTGCTGGAATTGCGGGAGAGGCCTTTAGGGCTCTATCCAGCTATCCTGCCAATAGTTCATTTCTATCAATGGAACAGGGACTGGGTGGCTCCCCTTCCCCACTGCAGCCCCTCGCGTAGCCTTTACACCTACTATGGAGAGGGGCTGCTAGGGAGGGGCGGGGCAGGGGGTGAGCCAACCTCCACTTGCATGATGCTGCATTGCTCCATGAATCTTTAGGAAGCTGTGCGATGGGCAGAGATCTGAACCAGCCCTGCCTCTCACGGGGCGAGCCCATTCACTGTTACCGGCTTCAAAGCTGTGCGATGCAGATAAGGAATTCTTTCAAAAGCTACGGGTTCTAGCACCAGAGACAAAGAGAGAATTGTTTTTTAAACATAAAAAGTGGTCTGAGAGAAGCATCTCTGTCCATAGTTTACTCAGGCTCAGCAGATAATTTTTGAAATAACAGCAAGGTAGGGCAGGCTGAGGTAGGACACAGGGAAGTCTCACAGAACCGTCTTATTTGCCTCTTCCGTGGCTCCTGCTCGTTCACTGCTCCTCTGTTGCCTCAAGATTGTAACCGAGAAGCCTTCAGCTGCCCCCTCCCCTGCTCTGCAGCAGAATATACAGGAGGAGAGCTGCAGACAGCCTAACCGGTGCCTCGGAGGCCCCTGCGGGCTGGCACCCTCGGCACGCCGCTCTCTCGGGACCTTTCCTTCCCCGTGGCAGCAGACCATTGGCCACGGCTCCCTGAGTTACCTGAACCGCAGTACCTGTGCTCCTCTGCTCTCCTTCCCCTGGGGAGGGCTGGGCATCTGTGGAACTACAGAACCCTAGAAAAAGCCAGACCTCTATGGAATCCACAGGTCAGATTAACAGAAATCCATTTTAATCCACTGCAGATTACCCCATTATCCCTACATCTGGCTCAGAAATTTTCAATGACCCATTCAACAACTATTTCAGATTCTATACCTCTTTATTAAGGCAGAGTTTTTTTGTAAACATTTTCATCAGTGTGAATAAACCAAAAAAACCCTAGAAAAAAGGGTTTTTCTATTTTCTGTTTCGGGCCATTCCTTTACTTTGCCCTCTCTAAGGGCCTCATATAAGTCACTCTGTTTACTCTATGCCCTCCCTGATGGCTGGACTCCTCCAGGAAGCACTGAACCCGCCAGGCATCTCCAGCTGCCCTCAGTTGATTCATACTGATATTTTAAGGTAGGTCCTCAGAAACAGCAGTGCCTCACACATGGAAAAGAACTCATAACGTGATGGCCAAGTGTACTCTACACAGTCCTTTCTGAAATACTCAGGCTGGGAGAAAATAAAGCAGAAGAGCACCAAGCAGCGGTGCCTGCGAAACACAGAATGGTCAGGTCGTTTCCTGGGCTCCCAGTGTTTTCACTGAAACAATGAGCAAGGCCCTCCAGCATAGGAGCCTCCTTGGTTGGGCCACAGAGCATTTAATAGCAAAGGGGTAGATGAACATTCTAGACCACACTGAGTAACTCGTGCAAAGGGAGAACCCTCCTCATCGTCCACTGCCCCCGCGGCTGTGTGCAAAAGGCAGCTTTTCAGAGCCACTGGGCGGGGGGAGTGGGTGTGCCTACACTTTCACTGTCTGGGTCCTAACACGATGTTGCCTCCATCAAGGTGCATGTGGCCACCACAATTCAAAGCAATGTGGAGAAGCCAGAACTTGCCCAGTGATAGCAATCAGTGGGTCTATAAGAGATGGACATGGTTTTGGTAGGCCACTCATGGGTGTCTTTTGAATAGTGCCCATGATGAGTAATGCAATACCTTATTTTAGTATTTAATTTTTGCAATGACAGCCCATCCACATAAGCACTCAGGCAGCTCTTCGAGAAAGAAAACAGAAGGGCAAGGCAGCCCACTGCCTTGCAGCTGGCTCGTGCCATTTCCCAGAAACGTTTTCTTAGTTACTTTACTCTGGCCACTGTATCCGTGTCCAGCCATAAGCCAAACACCTTCCTACCCTCCCCCCCCCACACCCCCGAAAGGAATGAATGGGATGCTGCCCCTCAGCAAGGTGGCCAGCCTCATCCATTACATTTGGAAAATACTCAGGCTTTTGAAGCAGGATTGGAGACGGAGGCCACCCCGACAGTTTATGGAAGAAGCCACTCTCATGGTTCCATGGGAACCATTGTCTGTACACACCTCTAGTTGCTTTCAGATCATGAAGGTGCCAAAATATGTTCTCGATTCCTCACTGACCCGCACCAGATGCATCTGAGACACCTTGATGAAGACTTCCTCATTCTCTTCTAGATGGACCACCCCAGCGAGGAAGCTGTTGTGGCTCCAAAGCTGACTGTCCTTCAGGTTGCAGTAGGGAATGCTGTTGGTCAGCAGCTCCATTTCCTCAGGGTACTGAGAAGTCCTCTTGTATATTGTGTGGGTGACAAACAGGTAGCTCTGGTGAGTGACTGGGCAGTCTGAATGCCCCAGGAAGAGGTTGGAGTAAACATAGTAGTGACCGGACTTGTTGCAGATCAGTGAGCCGCCCTTGTAGCCCATCTCACGGAGGAAGGCCACTCCCTTCTTGTGCTCCCACAGCAGAGCTCCATTCGCAGCCGCAGAGATGGAGGCACCTGAGTAGAAAACACACCCACCGCCACCACAGTCAGCACTTGGCATGCAGGGTGAGGAGGGAGGCAGGCAATCCCACCCTGCACCCCCAGGGCCAGCCGGCTGCCTAATGCAGAGCAGCAAATGGCACCTTTCCTTCCCACAAGTCACAGCCAAATGGTTTTACACACGAGGAAGAAAACCCCACTTCCCTGGCAGTAAACAGCAACAACAAGCAGCCACATAATCCACCATTGGCTGCCCTTTCAAGGCACCCCCAAGCTGCTGCCCGAGCTGGTTGCCCCACTCCCCCAGTGGTAGGAACTGGTTGCCCCACTCCCCCAGGGAGCTGGGAAGGGAATTGAGGCGAAGGCCTCTGGCTTCAGCGAGGCAGGTTCTCGCTACCAGGCACCCACTGCCTCATTGCCACGCTTTGGGACCGGGCTCAGCGACAGGGAAGGAAGGGAAAGGAGCAGTGCATTTTCATTCCTGAACCGCAGGCCCAGTTCCTTTCAAGGTGGGCCCGTATTCTCTCTCAGGAAGACTAACCCAGTATTTCAGGGCTTGCTAGAGGGCACTTCTTTGTTTTGAAGTTGCCCTCCCTGTGAAGGGCTGTCCAGTCCAAGCCAAGTTGAAAGAAAAAGAAGAATGAGTTGGGTGCAGCACAGCAGACTGAGGCTGGGCAAGGCACCATCTTATTCGGAGGCATATTGTAATTAATTATAGTAATTAACTCTAAAGTTACACCTACACATGCACAGTAGAATTTTATGCAAATAGGTACTCTCTTTTGTCCTCTTTTTGGCAATTCAGAGGGGCCCTCTTACATCTAAGCAGGTGTGTGCACACACGCACACTCTCCTCTGTTGAGGGTGTGCAGAAATGCATGTGCCATTCCCTGGGCAAGGAACCCACTTGACAATGCTGAGGCTAAAAGTAAAGTGAAGAACATGAGAACAAGGCAGGGGTGGGGGCTGTGCTCCAAAAGACAAAACCTCTGTTCTGAACCTCAATAAACCCAAATAAAGAGGATGCTGGAGGGTGGCACTCACTTTGCTGAATGGTAACCTCCTAGTTCAGAATATATATTTTTAAATTAAGAAATATAATCGACATGAAAAGGGACCAGAAGCCTGGCAGGCAGCAAGAGGAGCCCTGGTGCTCACAGGAACAGTGCTGAAGATCCCACAGAGAGGGAGGAGGAAGTGGGTCCAGACAAGGCTTCTGGAAAGGCTTAAAACTCTGCTCCAGCTGTGGCATATCATGAGCCTTTGACTAGTGCGTACAATGTAAAGACGCCATGGTCAGTTTGTAGCCCTCAAGCATTTTGGCCTACAGCTCTTATCCTCCTTCTCCATTAGATGGGAGTGAAGGCAATCTGACCGCCATTTGTCTGGGAGAAAGACCCATTGAACTCAGTAGAACTTACCTCTGAATAGGACTGCAGAGGGTCCTATGCAAGAATTTATTTTTATTTTTACTGATTTGCTAAGGAGGACCTTTTCATCATGCAAGTTCTCCCTTGAATCTGAAATAGCATAGCCCAAGCACAGGTTTGTCACCTCATTGAGAAGGGGGTCTTAAAGAGATAGTGCTTTAGACCTGTTTCAAGCAGTGATGCCTTTTTTCATTTTTATTCTAGTGTAGCTATAGGGGACCAGATACAGACTGGGCCTCCCAAAGCCCTGCTAGAGTCCCAATCCCAGCTGGGGGCACTGTGCCTGTTCTGGAGTAAAATGGAGCAGAAAAATGACAGGAAGGTTTGACCTGGGTTCAGTGGGACACAGATTTAGTGATGTGTCCTGGCTGTTAGTGTTCTGACAGGCCCAGCATTAGGGCCTGGCATGCTGTGACAGGTCCCAGGGCCCATGAGACCTGGGCGGGCCCACTTCTGCCTCCAATACTGCCATGGGACCATACCTCGCGCTTCTGCCCCCGGTGGCCACAAGCTGCGATGCAGCTGTCAATCCTTCCCTCTGCCACATTCACCAAAGGCAGTGCTTGGATGGCATCCAGGCAGCTGCTTGGCTCTGAGGCATACTGGGCAGTTGCCATCTTTTATTTCCCAGAATGCAATGCCTGAGATCAGCAGTGCCCAGCTCCAGTTCAGAAGCTCTGTTAAGGAAGCAGCACTGGCAGTGTCAGCACGCTGGGCTACTCAGGAGGTGACTGATGGCTGCAGTGACGGGCCCTGTCAGAGGGGCCCAGGCTGGCCCCTGGCGGCCCACTGGCAGCTCAGAGCTGAAGCAGCTCCCCCTCCTGATATTGTCAGAAGGCAAGCTCAGTATTCCCTTCATATCTTCCTGCCCACACCCCCAGTCTGAGCACACCCCAGGCCTGGCCTGGCTTCAGACGCAGCTGCTGCAGGCCCTTGCACCCACCAGCCTCACAGCAGCCAGCCAGCCAGCCGTGCTGCACTCCCATTGCATTCAGGGTCTGGACAAAATCTGAAGGGTAAAGGGAGACATTTCGCTCAGTTAAGGCATTTTCCTACCTAGGGTCAGGTGAGCAGCTGGTTTTTCAGCAGTAGGTGTGTGACCTGTAAAAGCAAATCAGACGACATTGAAATTTGCTTGCAGTTCCTTTGTCCGCAGGGACCGAAGGGCAACAAAGCCTATTGTAGCATCACTGCTTTCCCCTACAGGCTACCATTAACAGGGCCCTGCATAGGCTGCAATTCTGTAGCGATGGGTGAAAAGATGTACAGAACTGCGCTACAGGGTGCCTTATTCAATTTCCTGGAAACTGCAAATTCTGCTAAGAATGTTCTTGAGGCTTCAAAGAGTGCCAGAATCTTAGAAACCAGAAGGGCTGTGGTGACAGGTTCTGTGCTCTCAATATCATCTGGTCCTTCCATATAAGAAAACAGAATAACTTATGCAAAAGGCTAAAAATGGCATAACTGAACAAGCCAGGTAAAAGAACAGTCACATTTTAGCTCACTTTGCATAATTTGTAAATTGTATCATAGGATTTGGACATCACAGGGTTGGACCATCTGTAAAAAAAAGTTTTAATGCAGAACTAAAAGAGCCCAGAACAGTTTACTTCTCCCACAACTGCACCACCCAAGCTGTTTGGTTTTGCTCTGGTCAGTTTCCTTTCAAATAGCACCAAGTTTTCATTTCATCATTGGCATTTCCTGCACATTGTGACAGGCCAGGCCAGGCCAGGCAGGGGGCTCAGTGCTGGCACCTGCTGCAGCCCACAGCTTGGAGATCTGCCCTCATCTTTGTTCAGATCAGTATATATTTTCACATATGTGTGCACAACCTGACAGCCAACAAGGAGTGAGGTGGGTGGCAATACAGCAGCAGTCCTTTCAACTGGAGAAGCTATTTGCCAGTGCTTGCCACCCACCCACCCACATTTCAGCTGGGCAAGCCTCCACAATAGCTTCATGCTTATTTGTCCTCAGCTCATTCTTTCCTCTGCTTCCTCCCTCTCTCTCAGAAACCACGGGTACTGACATGGGGGTGCAGCACTTCTCTGCCCCCTTGCCCCATGGACCATTTCCTAGGCAGAGGCAGCTGCACAGAGGGAAGAGGAGGAGGGAGATTTGGAAGAAGACACAGTTCTGTGCCCAGCTCCATCTTGGCACACTCCATGGGACCAGCTCACAGAGCACACCATGGCTTCGGGGCAAGCTGGGCATGCTTTCCACAGGGTGGCTTATAAGCCCACCAGGCTGTGCCTATAAGCCAACCCAGCAAGCTCTGGCTGCTAGAACCTCTGCTCAGTGGCACAACAAGCCCCTTGGTAGGCACAGCCACTTCCGAGCCGCTGGGCAAGAGAAGCACTGCTGCTTGCTTGCTAGAAGTGGGCCCCTCTTGGTTATGGTCACTAAGGGCATGGCCATGACTAGCAAACCCAGAGCCACCAGTTCCCCCATTCTCTACTCCTGCTGTGGCTCTGGGGCTGTGGAGAAGGAAGGAACACTTGATGGTTTTGTGGGAGGGGGGCAGGATACCTGCAGGGGGGCCAAGGGAGGAAGAGGAGGAGGCATCTTTGCTTCCAACATGCCTGAGCATTTGTCAGGCATACTGGGGGGCAAGGCAGCTTCATGTGCCACGTGACTCCTCCCCGTGGCTGAACTCAGCCCAGCTCCTTGTAAGCTGTCCCCACAAGCCACTGCTTTGCTGTGGGATTTCATCATCATGCAACACAAGGAGCCCAGGAGTGAGCGAAGCCACCACAGACCTACTTGGCAAGGGCAGCGGGAAAGGGTAGCCCCTCTGGCCAAGCAGCACTGGGTAAGCAGGCATGGCAGCTGCCCTGTAGTGCCCCAGCAACAGCTGTGGAGGCTCAGGGCAGCAGTGTGGGACTTACCATGCTAGGCTCCCCTCCCTCTGGCACCGCTGCTGCTGATCCCAGCAGAGAGGGAGACTTGTGAGCAGGAGCGTGCGCACACCCTTGCTTTGTAAAGTCAACACACACTGGTGATCCAACTCAATTTAATTCACTCCTCTCTTCCTCCACTGCCATCCCCTTTCCTGCAAAATAGCAGGATTCTCTATAATAGAAAGGGGAAATCATGGGAGGAAACCAATAATTTTACACACAGACGAACCAAAGCTGACCCACTGCAATTCAGCACTAACTGCCCAGCCAGATAGATCAACAGAAAGAAATGAAATGGCAAAGTAGAGGTGTTCAGTGGGCCTCAAAAGGTTGTTTTGCAGAGCAGAACTCATTACTGAGTAGACACTGTAGAACAGACCTCATACTAGGGCCTGAGCCATGATGGCTCTAGTAAATTCCCAGAAACCCCCATTTTGAAAGGTATCTAAAGCCACATTGCAATATGGCGTTGGGCAATATGGCATCTTACTATATCCTGTGTGCAACTTGTTTTAATTTCTCTTCCAGCTGCTTGCTGAAAAGCAAATGCTTCAGTAGTGCCAAAGGCTCTGGCTGGAAGCAAACCTAGATGAGGTTTAAGAGACAGAGCAAGGACAGCTTACCTTGTACAGATTTTTCATAGGTTGCACCAGCTTCTGCCTAAGCAAAGAAAACCAGGAGTCAATTTTCAGAAAAACCCATTTCAAAAAGCACCTTGAATCCATACTTAAAGAACCTTCATTCTGCCACAGATATTGCCTCAAAGCTGAAATTTCCTTCTTAGGTAGTTCACATTTATGTGAAATTCTCCCCGATTTCCGTCAATGTACAGGAAATCAGTGCTAGAGAGATGCAATCATCAGATCCTGAACCAAAACCTGGTTTCCATATCACCTGGCCTCGCCCCTTCCGCTTCTCCAACAGGCACAAGGGGATAGTCGGAAGAACGAGGAGGAGGAGGAAGAACGGTTTCTCTTCAGTTACTGGGAAAGGAGTTATCATAACACCCTTGAACTTGGGGCCAGTTAAACATAAAAACATCCATCACTGAAACAACTTTGGGCAACAACAAGAGCTGAAAGCACACACAGATCATTGCATGTACTGTGTGTCATTTACTTTTGTACACACAGTCTATGAACTTCTTAGCCTGAACCCTTTAGCCTGCACTTTAACGAGATTTCTCTTGCTGAACTCTTAGCGGGATTAACAATGGCCCCCCAGCACATGCTCTTCTCCAGAGGCTGGTCCTTCTCTGCCTGTCGTGTTCCACTGTGCCAGCACAAGGTGGCATTGCACAAGAGCAGAACTGGAAAAATGCAAGAACTTCCCATGCTGGCTCCTCCTTCATTTCCCAATGCTTTCCTTGGCTTAAGGTAAGTCCTAGACATGCTCGGAAAGAACAGGTGAGGCCCTGGGAACGATTGCTTTATGTAAAGCACCGGCATGCTACTGTGAGTGAGGAATCATGAGCGGTTTAAAAATGCGTCACACAGGGGAAACCTGTGTGCACCTAGTGGCTTGGAACAAGTTGCAAATTTCCAGGATGCATGGCAGACTTTCTGGAAACAACAAAGAGTAGTATGCATTTGTGATTTTCATTTTCCCACAAGCTATCCATGTCAGAAATTCATAACAGTTCAAGAGGCCTTTTTATATGGAATGGACCCCAGAAACAAGCAAGGCAGATTGGCTAGAAAGTATACTTAGACATTCAACTAATATGGAAATGTTTTGGGCTTCTGTTCTCTTACTGAATACTCAGGTGAGGAGCATTTTATAAGGTTGAACTCAATCCCATCTTCTAATAAATTAATGACATAGTTTTAGCATCCTGTCTCCAGCAAAGCTCCTTGCCAGCTGTACATCCCCAGTGGAGGATCCATGTGCTCTGTGCTCCCACTCCTTTCAGTACAGCTGCTTAAGAAAAGTTCTCAGCAGATTGTGCCTTGGATGCCTAGTCCTTGAAAAGGCTTGAGAGTATCTCTCCACTCCCCCATAGCTCCTGTGCAATGTCTATACATTCATGCACGCAACTGGGTGCTCTGCATCAGGGGACTCTGTGTGGTGAGTGTCCCTAAAATGTCGCCCTGGCCCCTGCTTGCTCTAGAGATGCGGGTTGCAGCCCTTACCCCAGGAAGGTGATACCAAAATGCATGCAGGGAAATCACTGCTCACCACTATTTTGCTGGACACACATGTCTTCATCAAGCAGAAGAGAAAGAAATCTCATTGTCTGCTGTACAGAGCAATGCAGGTCCCCTCCCCCCACCATCCCTCTCTGCAAATACCCAATTTAGGAAGCACAAAACTCTTTGAAGCATCATCACACACATTTGAATAAAAAGGCCAGTTGGGTCTTCTGTCAAAGGGGATTTCACAAAAGGCTTCCTTGTGCAACCAACTAAAATGATCAAAAAGGCTTGTGCTAAAGGTTGATAAGGTAGGATAGGAGACCCCAGCAGTGGAAGGCTTGGCCGCCACTCCAACAGCCCAATCACAAAGCACTCAAGAAGTTCTGAGCCAGTGTGAGAAAATCCTGGATTTGCAGTAGAGGTACAGATTTTATTAAATCTCTTTCATCTGTACTTTGCGGATTCTCACGTGTCAGGTGTTTTGTTTCGTTTCGTTTTAGCAATGTATGAGAATTTCAATCCTGTTTGAAAATGCACATTAGCACATTAGCAAAGCTGGCGCATAGTGAATGCACATTGGCACAAATATGCACTTGCATGAATCCTCCTAAAAGTAAAAAGCTGATCTGTAGTTTCATGGGGTCTGTGCATCACAAAAAAGCTGGTCCGTTGCTGAATCCACAGGTTGGACTCAGAGAAATCCTAAACCCATTTGACTCCATTGTGGATTTCTTTGGCATCCCCAGTTTGCACACCCTACTTGTCTATACCCCACATCTTCTAGCTAAGAAGCCCCTCCAAATACTGGAACCAGAATGGTTACCACTTGTTTTTACTGTTCTCATCTCTTTATCAGCAGTTAGTCATGCATCAATGAAGCAGGTTAAATTTTCTCTTCCCAGCAATTAATCTCTGTACCAAGAAATTTTCATCTGCTTCATTGTGTCAGACTGCTGGTAAAGCAAAAAGGTGCATTTTAAAAAAAATAACAAAAGTGACTTCCTTATCATTTACTTTACACTAATTTATAACTGGGTGCATATTTTGGTTACTTTGGATAACATGGATTTGTCAATGTCTAAAGGTTAGCCCTATTACCTTAAAACGAACAGACTTGATTTTTAAGGCCACAATCCTTTAATTAAACCAAGTTGCCAATGTGATTATACAGAATTAGCTGCAGTTCTACTTCTGTGTGATAAACAACACTTTGTATCATGAAAGCTAATCTGACCATTCCCCAGTAGAAATTGCTCCTATAAAACCCATGTGTACCCACAATACTTGAATCTGCATTGTGTCTCTCTCAGCCTTCTCTTACACACATTGTCCTGAGCCAAATTAAATCAATTACGCAAACACATGCCTTCCCATAGTGGTACCTAAGGCCCTGTCTCCGGATACGCATCAGTTCCAGCCAAAGAGCTTCACGTTCCCAAGAACACATCTCCTGCCACATGCCCAATTCCATTCCTTCTCACTGCCTTTCTCTCAGCCACATGTATCACTAGCCTCCATCAGCTGTCCCCTGCTCCCATCAGCCCTTTGTTCTCCGTGCTCTATAACTATATATATATATGACCTGTGCCGCTGCTTTGTCCAGTTCCTTGCGGAAGCAGATCAGGTAATAGGCTTGAATGGCTAAGGCAGCCAGCATCAGCACCAGCAGAATCCCCAGGAGCAGCTTCCCATGCTGCCATTTCTTCTGGCTCTTGTACACCGGCAGCACGAATGGGGGATTTTGCTGTGGTGCATCCACGACAAAAACAGATGGGTATCTGATGTTATGTTCCATAATGCTGTCCTTTAGTAGAAGAGCTGGGACAATTGCGGTGCAGTTAAGCAAATAGACCAGTTGCTTCTCTGTGGCCTGAGCTATGTAGATGAGAGAGTGCAACGCCCACATCCCTGGAGAGGAAACCACAATGTTACCCAACTGCCCTTTATGCATTAGGGCTGTGCGCCTGCTTTGGTGGGCTGGGACTTCCTTCAGGGAAGCCACTCCTCTTGGTCCTTTCCTGGGTGAGTTCAGATGGCTTTCTGTTTGCTCTCTGGAGGCTTGCATGCCCACACATATGGCCCTGAAGCAAAGGGGGCAGGCGCCTATCTCAGCCCCAGCCAGGAACTTCACATGTTCAACAAGCTCACACCTAGCTGTGCCGGTGGACCTGAGCCTGTGCCCCATGGAAGGGGGAGCAATTTCAGCTGCAAGCAGGAGAGAGGGGTGTGCGTGTGCTGGGGTTGTGGCCAGTCTTTCTCTTACTTGCCATTCTAAGGAATCAGCCATGCAGATGTGCTTTTCAAAGCTCAGGTTTACAGAATTGAACCTGTTTCCTCAATGAGAAGGAGTGTTTGACAGATAACTCAAAAAGCAAAGGGATGGCATAGAAATCATTACAGCACAGTCATATTTATTCAAATGGATTTCAGAGCTATTTAATCATGGAATATAGACACGAGGGGGAATCTTTAACAACATCCACAGAAAGTTAAAACCCTCCCTATAGTTAAAAAAACGACCCCGAACAGAAATAGCATGCTGTCCTGTGTGTTTGCTATTGTGAGTTTTCCCTTCAGTTTTTCCACTGGATCTTATTTAGCAAGAAAAGATCTGGTTCTCCCTGCAGTGTCCAGAATTTTATTGAACCAGAAGATGTCCCATATGTACTTCAGTTACAAGATCTTCTTCAGGAGGTAAAACCAGGTCACTAAAAGGAACTACTGCTAAAAGCACTGTAATTTTCTAAACATCTCCAGGAACATTTGACTAATTGTGCTGAATGGTTTACACTGATATAGTCTTTCAAGGGATCTGTAGCAATGAAATTCAATAAGAGTTTTTTTGCACGAGGCTGTTAATCAGCTGTATCTACTTTTGGTTTTGTTGCAAACTGAGACCCAACTACTATACCAGAGCATTTACTTTCTTACTTTTCTGCTATATAACCTTGAGGTGGAGCTGTGCTATGGCAGAATAGCACAAATACACAAGGAGAAATTCCATTTTCTTTCATTTTCATGATTAAATGCTGCATTTTCCATGCTTAGGTTAGAGCATGGAACACACTCACAGAAAGTGCTGGTCAGACACAGGAGCAAAACTGGAGACTCATGACATCATTCAGAGAACATGTAAAGACATGTAAAGAAGTGTGAGGAGGGGATGGTGAGCCCACCTACACCCATGCAGGCTGCACCTCTGCTTTTTGTGGTGGGGGAAGTCAGACTTTGTGCAGCCAGATGAGGGTTGGGACAACCTCAAAAGATATATAGAGGATGACCATGATTCTCTGACAGCATACTGACAGCATTAAAAAGTGTGTGAATACTGCATGGCAATTCCACCAAAAATGTTCAGTATGGAAGCATCCTAAAGCAGCACAACACAGTAATTAATTTATTTTAGTTATTATAGTTATCTCCTGCCTTTTTTCCTTTCAAGGAAAGCAAAGCAGTTTATATCATTCTCCACCTCCTGCTCCCAATCTTATCCTCACAACAACAGCCCTGTAAGGTAGGTTGGGCTGAGAGTCTGTGACTGGCCTGAAGTCACTCAGTGAGCTCTGTGGCAAAGAATTGACTAGAGCCCATATCCAGTGTACAAGTTTCTCCATTAAGGGCTTTTCTAGATGCCATTTATTGCTACTCTTGCTTCCAGACTCATGGAACTTTTCATAAGTGTGCTTGTTGTTCCAGAGAGAGAGAGCGCTTTTCCACATTAGGTGGTTATTCCACCACTTTACTGAGGCTTCTGCTTCTGGATTCTTAGCAGGATTAATACTGACTCCTTTGCACATTTTTCTCTGCCTTTCTACAGCCAGTCCCCAGGTTACAAACAAGTTGTGTTCCTGAGAAAGTGAAAATTCATCTTTAAGTCAAATTTGTATGTAAGTCAGATCACATACAAGTAGCCATCCACATTCGTGGGGGTCAGGGGCACAGGACCCTCCCTGCCCTTTTGCTTCATCTCTCTCTGTGTTTGTTTGTTTGTTTATTTATTTATTTAGAAAATTTCTAGGCCGCCCCATTCGCCGAAGCCTCGGGGCGGCTTACAAATAAATAAATTAAAATACATAAATAACAATATAAAATACACATAACTGTATAAAATAAGTCGCCCTGGCCAAAAAACTTTAAAATAAAAATAACATTAACAATTAAAATGACGCTTGAATAAAAAGGTCTTCGCCTGGTGCCGAAAAACAAATAACGATGGTGCCAGGTGGACCTCTCTGGGGAGCACATTCCATAGATTGGGCGCCACCACAGAGAAAGCCCTCCTCTGAGTAACTATCCTCCTAATTTCCTTCACGGAGGGTTCCCGGAGAAGGGCCTTTCCCACTGATCTCAGGGGGCGGGCGGGCATATATGGACGCAAGCGCTCCTTCAGGTAACCAGGACCCAAGCCATTTAGGGCTTTATAAGTGATCACCAACACCTTGAATTGGGCCCGGACTTCAATGGGAAGCCAGCGAAGCTGACGGAGGACCGGAGTCATGTGAGCATAACACCCAGTCCCCGTCAACAGCCTGGCAGCTCTATTCTGAACCAATTGAAGTATCTGGACCGTCTTCAAGGGTAGCCCCACGTAGAGTGCGTTGCAGAAGTCAAGTCGGGAACTCACCAATGCATGTGTCACTGTCGCCAGGCAGTCGTACTCCAGGTAGGGGCGCAGCTGATGGATCAGCCGAAGCTGAAAGAAAGCGCTCCTCGCCACTGCTGTCACCTGAGCTTCTAGTGAAAGCTCTGGGTCGAGGACCACTCCCAAGCTGTGGACCTTGTCCCTAAGAGGGAGTACAACCCCATTCAGGACTAGATTCAATTCACCCTCACCAAAGCTCAATCCGCCGACCAACAGGACCTCCGTCTTGTCTGGATTGAGCTTCAGTTCATTGGCCCTCATCCAGCCCATTACCTCAGCCAGGCACCGGTTCAGCACAGCCACTGTCTCACCTGGATTGGTGGAAAAAGAGAGGTAGAGCTGGGCATCATCAGCATACTGATGATTCCGCAGCCCACACCTCCTGATGACCTCTCCCAGCGGTTTCATGTAGATGTTAAACAGCAAAGGGGACAAAATGGACCCCTGCGGTACTCCATGGCATAGCTGCCATGGCACAGAGCCATAGTCCCCCAGCACCACCTTCTGGAAACAGTCTTTGAGATAAGAGTGAAACCACTGCAGAGCAGTGCCTCCGACCCCCAATCCCGCTAGCCTATCCAGAAGGATACCATGGTCAATGGTATCGAAAGCCGCTGAGAGGTCCAGAAGAACCAACAGGGATGCACTCCCCCTGTCCTTCTCCCTGCACAGGTCATCATACAGGGCAACCAAGGCAGATTCAGTACCGTACCCGGGTCTGAAGCCGGACTGAAATGGGTCCAGATAATCAGTTTCATCCAAGAGTTCTTGGAGTTGTCCCGCCACTACCCGCTCCAACACCTTGCCCAAAAACGGGATGTTGGCCACTGATCTATAATTAGTGGCCATCTCTGGATCCAGTGACGCTTTCTTCAGGACCGGTCGGACTACCGCCTCCTTTAAAGAGGCAGGTACCCAACCCTCCCTCAGAGAAGTGTTAACCACTTCCAAGATCCAGATCCCAATCCTGTGCTTGGCGTTATTTATTAACCAAGATGGGCAAAGGTCCAAGAGGCAAGTGGTGGGACGTATTCGTCCAAGCACCTTGTCCACATCATCAGGCCGCAATAACTGAAATTCATCCATTAATTTTGGACCAAGCAGTGGCATTGGTATCTCCCCAGAAACCTCTGAGTCACTAGTAGAGTCTAGCTCGTGATGAATCTGAGCGATTTTCTCCCTGAAATGCTTGGCAAAGTTGTCACAGCGGGCCTTCGAGGGTGAAACCAGATTTTTCTTGGGGCCAGGATAAACCAGGCCATGCACCACTCAAAAAAGCTCTGCCGGACGGCATTTTGAGGAGGCAATGGAGATGGAGAAGAATTTCTTTTTCGTCGTGCTCACCGCCACAGCATAGGCCCGATAATGGGCTCTTAAGTGTGTTCGGTCAGATTCATCCTGTGATTTCCTCCACCTATGCTCTAGCCGTCTCCCAGCCTGCTTCATCGTCTGCAATTCAGGTGTATACCAAGGGGAAGAGTGGGCTCTGCCCGGTGGGAGAGGACGCTTAGGAGCAATCGTGTCAACAGCCCTGGTCATCTCCGTGTTCCACAGTTCGACCAGGGCCTCAACAGGAGCACCAGTCTTGTCAGCTGGAAACTCCCCCAGGGCCTTCAGGAATCCATCCAGATCCATCCGGCTCAGAGGGTGGACCCACACAATCGGGTCCTCACCCTTACAGAGGGAGAGGCCGCTCTTGAGCTCAAACCTCACCAGGAAGTGATCTGACCATGACAGGGGTGTCAGGCATAAACTCTTCACCCTCAGACCACCCTCTTCCTGTCCCGTTGAGAAAACCAGGTCCAGGGTGTGTCCACATTCATGAGTCGGGCCGGTGACATGTTGAGAAAGCCCCATGGCCATCATGGAGGCCATGAAGTCCTGAGCCACCCCGGTCAGACCAGTCTTGGCATGGAGATTGAAGTCCCCCAGGACCAACATCCTGGGGGGCCTCATCACCAGGTCTGAGACGATCTCCATCAGCTCAGGCAGGGAGACTGTTGGGCAGAAGGGTGCACGGTACACCATCAGAATCCCCAATCTGTCTCAGTCGCCCAACACCAAGTAAAGACACTCAAGCCCTGGCCTCGAAGGGACCAGAAGTCCCGTGAGGGAGATGGAGGCTCAGTAAACCAAAGCGACCCCCCCTCCCC